TATATTTTTTTGTGATTGATAGCTTAGATATTGCTCTTCAAAAATCTATATTCAATAGCTATCCACGATTGAATATGACAAAGATAGGCAAAAAACAAAAAGGGGGTCGAAACTTATGAAATACCCTTTAATAGTAAAAAAATCATATTTATTTAATGCAATTAAAACGATATAAAAAGGAGGCTTGAGTATTACGCAAATTAGTCACTACCAATTCTATAGATATATATTATATTGACAGGTGAATGGGATGGTAATGATGCATCAGATGAACAAAATTTTCGTTCGATTAAATAGGAATTTCAGTGAACATAATAATCAATTAATTAATGATAATATTTGGAAGAAATTGCAAAATAAATGTATGAAGATCTATCAAAAGAGCACTTAACCATTTTCAGAACAATGTAATATTGAATATGAATATCTATGTTTATTAGGCAATGTTGATCAACCATGGAATTTTACTAAATATTGTCCGTGTATTAATTTTACACGTATTGGTGATGGAAACATTGGTTGCTATGGTCAACAAGATGAACGAAACATACAGCGATGTAAAGGTAAATTCCTTATAATGGGTTACAATTTTTTGTGTCCAACATCATTACAATGTATTTTTTATGAATCACAATGTAAAGAAGTGAACATATGTGAAAATGGTGAAGATGAGTATTCATGTATATGTAAGATGTCTTGTCTTTCTCAGAATGCTTATCGAATAGCAAAACGAGAAGAAAGATATAGAAAAATGATTTCAATTCGTTTTTATTCTTTTGAACAACAGTCAAAAAAACATTCTTGAAGAAGAAACAGATGAAACAACGTTCGATTTATTTAAAGAAAATAGAACACTATCTAATGTTCATTATCAAGACTTAATAAATTATTATTTCAAAAATGAAACCTCAAGTTTTTATTTACCATTTGTTTATGGTAATGACGAATTAGCTGTTAAATATCAAGAAAAAAAAACAATTTGTTTTTATCCACCAAATTCTTATGGTAATTATTGTCAATATTCAAGTGATCGAATAACAATTTTGACTCATTTAGATTTAAAAGATTATAAGATAGATAAACCCACAACATTGAAAGTACTATTAACATTTTTATTTAATAATCAAGTTATTGATATAAATCAATTTTATATTCAAACTGTATTACAAAACAATGAGATAAATTATATAAAAGAAAAAAATTATTTTGTTTATCCATGTATAAAAGAATCTATTGATTTAAAAAGAAGATATCGTCATGGTACATAAATGTATCATGTAAGATTTGAAATATTTGATTTAACTAAATCTAATTTAAATTTAATTGATATTTAGGATTATCCATTTATTATGATTATTTACCATCTTATCATTTAGCAAAAATTTTAAAATTAAATTCAACAAGAAATACTAAATGTTCAATGTGTGGACATTGTTATAGAATTATTAATAATAATTATTCAATTTATTGTAAATGTCATCATGGTTGGTATGGAAAATAATGTTAATATGCTCATATTGAATAATGTCATAGTACATGTTCAAATAATTCAATTTTGTCATCTTAATCAATGTGGTATTCGAAATAATGGTAAACAAAAATCTTATTGTTCATGTTTATCTGAATATTTTGGATCAAATTGTTATTTAAAACATGATCAATGTACAATAAATCGATGTAAAAATAATGGTATTTGTTTTATTGATTATATATTAGATGATTTTTATCAAATAAAATGTTTATGTCAAAAAGAATATTATGTAGATAAATGCCAATTGAAAAGAAAAACAGTGTTCAAATTCAATTAGATATAAAAAATAAAACATCAAGTCAAATTCAAGCAATTGTTGTACAATATTATGATTTAAAAGAACAGACATATGATATGCTTATTCATCAACAACAATTGTATGTATCAAATTTTCCATCAATTATTAAATTTCATCATGATCAAGCATTTACATCAGCATTATGTTTAATTCGTATATATAAAGAACAGCAAAATGAAAATCAAGATTTTTTTCTCGTTTATAGTCGACAAAATCAAGTTTTTGTAAATGTAACTACTAGTTTGACAGAAGAAACACATTATCGTCATTCAATTACTTTACTACAAGGTGAATATTTACAACAATAACGAATAAATGAAAAGATTATTTTAAATATTTTGCTATTAAAAATTTTGAGGAAACTATCATCAGAGTCAAATAGTGGACGTAACTCCGAATTGAAGACTATTTCCATTAGGATGAAACGAGAAATAGCGCAAGAATTTTCTCTGTAAACTATTCAACTACTTTCTTTTACCTATAGATAGGGCTTCACAAGATGAAGAAAATCCTAACTTCGTCATTGCTCTCAGTTCAATAAAGAATCTTTTTTCTCATATTTATTACGTTATAAGACAACTGAAAAGGTTTCATTCGTCACATTTATATTCATTCGAATGGCAGTTATCCTCAGACAGAGATCATAGTCAGCAGTAGTATTAATCATTTTTTGAGAAAAACATAGATTCTCCCTAGTGCCAAAGGTAGATGGACGCGAAAATTAATAGAAAATAAACGATGTACCGTCAATATATACCGAAAGTAAAGAGCAATTGTTTAAACACTTTTTTGCGATATTTTTTCATACTTCTTAAATACTGTTACCAATTTGAAACATACGGCAATAGTAGATTCTGAAAGGGTTTTATTTGAGTGATATATAACTGGTTTTTAAAATATCATCTAAGATATGATGTTGCCGACATAATTTGTTTCACTTCAACTACAAGTACTGTTTCATTATTCTTTACGAAAGTGTAAATCAATGAACAAGTACTTAATTGCAAGCATAGTTAAAAGAGCAAGTCCATTTTATAAGTGCAAGAACAAAACCAGAGATCCTTATTCTTCTAATTGTCCTAATTCTGATACCAGCAAAATACATTGTAAATCATATCGGTGTTCTTTATTGTATTTTCTCATGGTTGAGTGAAACTCCTTGAAATGAATCAATATATTTGCTTGGTAAATAGAAAAAAACCAGTAAAATTATTTCATTTACTTGCTTGTATAAAATAATCTACATCAAACTAAATTAAAAACTACTATCATCATTTTCTAACTGTAAATCTACTATTCTTTTCCACTCACCAAAATAGAAACCTTTTCGCTGTGACTATTTCAATCTGTTTGTATGAAAATAAAATAAGTTTTTGATTGCTGCTGTGCAATAGATAAAGCGTTACTTATTATTTCTACACATCAAGCTTTGACACATTTGAATGATAACCAGTCTTCTTCACTTCAGAAGCAATCGATAAAAAAAAACATATCTAATATAAAATATTTCCCCTTTGTCTCAATACTCACGATTCGCATATTCATACATTCATCTTTCTTCGTATTTTGACATTACTCTTATTACCAATTTTGGTGGAATCCAATCCGAAAGCCTTTAATCTGAACCAGATTGCCAAACAAAATAAAATATTTGCTCGAACTACAAAATATATAAATATCACAAAAAGCTTCTGTTTCAAGTTACTCCCACACATAAATGATCTACTCTTTCACAACTACACATTCTTGATCACAAAAATAAGTTGTGTATTTCGAATAAAATCTATGCATTAGAAACAAACGGGCAGCCCGTATCTATTCAGCAAAAACTAAATGAAAATTCAATTGAGATACAACCAAAAATTAAAGATGTGGGTGTAGGTGTTCTCTTCATCGATACTCATACCTCCCACACTCCATAACCACATCCAAATTATGAAATATGTTTTACGCCCACCAGAATTGATGAAGATAAGAACGAAACAAAGACTGTTTTCGATCGACCAGAATTAAACTATTGACAAAGATGAAATCACTCCCTATTATACAATGTTTTTTCCTCGTTGATTATTACTACGTTTTATTGAATGATCAAAATATTTGATTGTTAATCTGTGACAATCTGTTCAACAATTGGCATTAGAAATATGATTGATTTTTGTCATGATGTACTTTTTTGTCAGTTGAAACCCAGGACGAGCGTTACGATAGTCGTAAATGATCGTATACGATGTAAATTACGACAGTACTTGATCATATTTCGCCGTATTATCTGACACCTGAATTACGAACGTACACTGCCGTATACGACATCGTTTATCATAGTATTCGCGCAAGCTTCTCCATAGTGACGAAGGGAGCGACTTCCTGTTACTCCTCCTTCGCCCCCCCCCCCCCATTCCATTTACCCTCTCCCACCTCTCTGCTCACTTCCATTCTCCCTTACCCTTCTCTCCTCCCGCTCGCATTGCTCTTTCGCTGATCCCCTGCCTTTCATCCTCAATATAAATGATACTAACCGTTTATTAGGCCATTGAGATGGATCTAAATACAAAATTAAAAAAAGATTCAATATAAAATAATACTTACCGTTTATTATGCCGATGGAATGAATCTTAAGTAAAAAAAATTCTTTTATATAAAACATATCCTTACTGTTCAACATGGGAAGTTTACATTATAACAATTATGACACTTTTACAATCTTTTCCACAGATAGATAGCCAAGTCTTTACCAACTTGTTCAATTATGATTTCAGCAATATTCCTATTTCAGCAAAAAGTCTTAAGACCGCTATGGTAGTGGTCTACATTGGATGCGTCACTATCTGCTAAATTATCCTACTTTTGAGAAATAAGCATTGGAATATTAATAAACGAACATTAATGTGACTGACACAATTATATTTGTAATACCAAAACCATTATTTATTTGTACAAATGATATATAAATCTGTGATTATTAATGAGATACTGAAAAAAAACATTCAAAAAACAACAAACTAATATACAATAATACGACAGTTGTACAGAAAAAATCGACCAAACAAAAATAATTTGATGACAAAAAACAACAACTTTTATAGAACATAATAAGATCAATGCCATCTTATAATTGAAATTTGAAGATAAATTAAATGATGAATTGTGGATGTTCTTGAATCGGAATTACATTTATCATCATCTTCAACTTGTAAAAACATTGCTTTATCCACCATCCGTTCATGACAATAGAAAAATCATTATATTTGCTGATCTCTTTAAGTTGTTGCCGACGGTAATGATACACAAGAGTATATATACCAATAATAAGAAAATTTATCATTTCCGCACAGAACACTAGACTAACAACAAATAAAAACAATGCAGGTCCGATCGAATATGTTTTCTAGAAGAAAAACATTTCTCATTGAAATATTTAAATGGAAAAGATAATTGTATTTTCTTACCCAAAACGTCATAGCCATCCAGAAAAAACAACCAAAACCGAAGAGTAGAGTTGAAATTAACAAACAATAAATACCGATACATTTGCATTTTTTATCCTTTGTCAAAGGAGGCTAGTAATACAAAAAGAAAATATAACAATTTTTGTTCAGTTGAAGTATAATTATCATTAATCCTTTCTTGCCCTTCGATCTCTATAGGAGTCACTGCACGAGAGCCATGCCCGATTGTGCTCAATCAAATATTTTAGATTTGAATGAAAGTTATTCCATTTTGTAGAGTAAATGTTTTTAGGCATATTGTCAAATTTTTAGACTTAATCAATAAAGTTTGGCTGAAATATGATGATCAGACTGAAAATATTCAAAATGGCTTTTTATTGATTCTTTTATTAATTTAAGACATTTTTTGTAAATCATTTATTTGACATATTTCCACGATATTTCATCATCAATATGAACTAGAGTTCTGAAAATCTCACCAGACATACATTTTCAGATGGATAATGCAACCATCATATCCAAATAATGTGTAGATGTTACTAATTTATATTTACTTTAGTTCTACCTCTCCTTATACTGCTTATATATTAGGCTCGAAAATAGTCTATTTTAGCGATAGGCTTTTTTCAGATCACCGTGATAGGATTTGCTCAATGTTTTTTCTCAAAGACTATCAACGTGGTGCTACTTGAATATGCAATCAAAAGTTTGGGATCTTATAGTTTGAGCCGATAACTCTTATCACAAAATAGCACTATTTTTTCTATAATATATAGAACAAAGAGGACTTCAGGTGACTTTAGTATAATTACAAAACAATGGTCATTTGCCATGAAACTTTTAGCAATTATAGAGGTCACAGTTATTAGTCACTTCTATAAGTTTCAGCTTGATCGACGAAACTTTCACTTCATTTTCGTATTCTATTAGATAGGCACCTTTATGCTCTGTAGGATTCAGGATACTGAAAGACCTGATTCATTGAGTTGTGGCAGAATCTTTTTATGATTTAATAATCAGTTTATATAACATTGAATAGAGAATTTAACGCTGAACAAAACAGTATAATTGACCTTGAGTTCAACTGAAAAAATTGTATACACTCTCCACTAGACATCCTGCATAGGAGTCACTGCATGCGAATCATAACTATTATGCTTAAGCGAAAACTTTAGATTTGGATGAAAGTTATCCCATTTTGTAGAGCAAATTTTTTTAGGCCTGTAACACAATTTTTAGACCTAACGTATAATTTTTAAATAAGATAAGATGATGCCAATTAAAACGTTGACTATTCTGACTTAGATCTGAAGCAGACGTCTAGGCCTCGTGTATAGCAGAAATCGGTTATATTTCTCCAAGCAAACACAACGAGGAGATCAGCATCTATTGGAGTCGTACGCAATGAGTGCTTACTCTTTGTCTACAGAATAAAACAGAAAACTTTCTGCTGTTGATGATCAATTAGCCTTCTATAGACTTGCTACGAGATAATCTTTTCATTCTCTTTTATAGGTGTCTCTTTCATGAAGAAATCACACTCGTGTTTCCGAGAATGGGATATAAGACTCCATTCATAAGTCTTTGAGTTTGATTTTTTCACATTCTCGACATTTTATATTTTCCGCATCTGAGCAAACGTGAAGGCCGAAATTATGGTAGATGTCGTCAGCAAATGTTACGTCTTTAAACTGATATATTCAACAAAGGAAAAGCATAGCCCCTATACATTTTTCTAACAAGACAAATAGTCATGTTCCTATGATATGTTTTTTTCAAGAATGATCAGCTTCGTTAACATTCAGTCAGTTGAAAGAGATATCGTTGGAAATGACCGTTGTATTGCCGATCTCGGAATG